CAGTGCAGCTAAAATTTATGCCAAAATGCATAAGAAAAGTTAATAAGCAGCAAAACTACAGCGGGGCTATCATTAATACTTTATATTTGGGAAATGGAGATTCCTACAAAAATGACAATAGGTTGGGACTTCCCTGGTGGTGCAGTGGTTAAGAATCCGCCTGCCAGTGCAGGGTACACGGGTTCGAGCCTTGGTCCGGGAAGATGCCACATGCCACGGAGCAACTAAGCCTGTGCGCCACAGCTACTGAGCCTGCGTTCTAGAGCCCGAGAGCCACACCTACTAAGCCCACATGCCACAACTACTGAAGCCCGCACGCTTAGAGCCCGTGCTCCACAACAAAAGAAGCCACGGCAATGAGAAGCCCGCTCACCGCAACTAAAGAAAGCCCGCATGCAGCAACGAAGACACAACGCAGCCAAAAATAAATAAAATAAATAAATGAAAAAGAATTTTTTTTTTTTTTTTTTTTGTGGTATTCGGGCCTCTCACTGTTGTGGCCTCTCCCGTTGCGGAGCACAGGCTCCGGACGCGCAGGCTCAGCGGCCATGGCTCACGGGCCCAGCTGCTCCGCAGCATGTGGGATCTTCCCGGACAGGGGCACGAACCCGTGTCCCCTGCATCGGCAGGCGGACTCTCAACCGCTGTGCCACCAGGGAAGCCCAGAAATTTTTTTTTTTTGAAAAAGAAATTTTGAGCTAGTTTGTTACATTTACAAATATTTGATTTGTAAGCACTTACTTGTAAGTCAATTCAATAGAGCTCCTTTAGAAGTTAATTTTAATAACACCATCCGGAGTTAGGGACATATCACATTTATTATGTATAGATAGACATACATTCATCCAGATAGACACAGACAGAGATCTTTTTGGTTTTTTTGTTGTTTTGTCCACGCTGTACAACATGTGGGATCTTAGTTCCCCGACCAGGGATTGAACCCGGGCCCACTGCAGTGGAAGCACAGGGTCTTAACCATTGGACAGCCAGGAAAGTCCCCTACACAGAGATCTCAGTTTTCCTGCTTCAGTTTAAAAGTCCTTCCCCCTCCCCACTCCTTTGTTCTTTTCCAGCTTTAAATTCTACTAACTGACCCAAGGCTGTAGGTCAGGCAACGTGGGCTACATTTCAAGGATATGGTAAGAGTTGTAAATTTTAAGCTTTCTCCTGGGAATACTTGTTCTCCCAAGGTCAGAATTGAAAAGATTAAACCAGCTTTCTCTACAGTTTTGGAGTGTCAGTAGAGTGCCATCCTGGCCATTTAAAAGTTAAATGCTTGCAAGTATTGGCTTTGTTCTAACTGCACACGAAGCTGGCCAGAGTTCCCGTGAGTGGCTGTTTATTAGGGAGCTGTTCAGCCTTTGAACCGCAGTTTCTCTTTATTACTTTGGGAGCCTAATTCAGATATAATCTGAACAACTTTCTGAGGGCACTGTGATGGATCGCACGTGTGCTGCTCCTGAGTCTATCTCTCCAAGGAGTTACTCTTGGGTCGGTTCGAGCCTCTTCCATGTCTCGGTTTCTCCCTCCAGCAAAAACTGCTGTGCCCCTCGGCGGCGAGCAGAATTTACTTAATGGTTGTAGTGGGGTCCCTTGTAGGACCCCAGCACATCTAAAGGATTGATCTTCAGATATGTCCACTAGGTTCTCAATCCCCTGAGAAGGCCTTGTGGCTGGAAGGAGTAAGCGTACCTTTCTCAATCTCTCATTCTACTATCAAATGGTTTGTTCAGATTATAATCTTTTTAATTTAAGCCAAATTAAAAAAAAGACCAGCTAACCCAATTCACTCCAAAGTTCCCCCCCAGGTCCCTGCCTAGGGAATGTACCATACTCCCTTTTAGGACTTCAAGTCCCAAGAAAAAAACAGCTTGAATAAAATTCAGGATGTCATGTAAAGCAATGATGTCTGAATATCAGGAGAAATCACCAAAGCAGCTGAGGAGTACCGAGAAGTGGGTGCGTCTCAAAGGACCCATGCTGGTACCAAGCATAGGTTTGGGGTAGACTCCAGGTGTCCTCTGATAGGTGTCTCTGGTATCATACTGAGTACAACAAGAAAATGTCAACAAAAATTCAATTAAGAATCAAGGAGAGGGTTTCCCTGGCGGCGCAGTGGTTAGGAGTCCGCCTGCCGATGCAGGGGACACGGGTTCGTGCCCCGGTCCGGGAAAATCCCACATGCCGCAGAGCAGCTGGGCCCGTGAGTCATGGCCGCTGAGCCTGCGCGTCCGGAGCCTGTGCTCTGCACCGGGAGAGGCCACAACAGTGAGAGGCACGCATACCGCAAAAAAAAAAAAAAAAAAAAAAAAAAAAATCAAGGAGAAAAAAGGGAATTTTATTTGAGCCAAACTGAGGATTCTAACTTGGGAGACAGACTCTCATAAAGCTCTGAGAACTGTTCTGCCTGTTGGAAGTCAAAGGCACAGTTGTATTCATTTTCAAGACAAAGGATCGTTCATCAAAATGACATACTGATAATTTTTCAAAAAGTTCACCAAGGATACATATCCAGGTTAGTACATACAGAGCGAGCAGCAACTCACCATGACCTCCTACAGAGCTGGGAAAGGACTGTATTCTTTTAAGAAATTAAATCACTAGTGTCAGAAGAAAAAAATAAATTGATCTTCACGGTCAAGCAAGCACTCCCACGTTTGAGGAGCTGTGGTTGATGTGTAATGCAGATGCACACTGCACTTTAGGGAGGGAGGAGGCCCAAACAAACAGAGAGAGAATTTTGTTTTTTTCTTGTCTTTCCTTAAAATACAAATTTTATTTCATCAACTCCAAGCACAAAAAAGAGATTATTTTTATCCCTATTTCTGAAATTTTATTTCCTAATAATTTTTTTTTTTTTTTTTTTGCGGTACGCGGGCCTCTCACTGTTGTGGCCTCTCCCGTTGCGGAGCACAGGCTCCGGACGCGCAGGCTCAGCGGCCATGGCTCACGGGCCCAGCCGCTCCGCGGCATGTGGGATCTTCCCAGACCGGGGCACGAACCCGTGTCCCCTGTATCGGCAGGCGGACTCTCAACCACTGCGCCACCAGGGAAGCCCTCCTAATAATTTTTATATGCTTACTGTATCTTCATCTCCTGTAAAGGTGCAACCCAGGGGTCTTGTTCTGGCACACACAAAAAAAGGTATGTAGAAATCTGATCATGTGGTGCATATTTACAAATGGGGAGGTAGGTTTCAGGGGGTTTGAGTCTGAAATTGTACTGCTATGGTATTTTCATTATAGTTACAGAAATAATCTGGGTTACACTATGGAGTTCATAGCTCACATGCAAATTATGAATATACATATATTTCAAAAACTGTTGTTTGAATCTAAATAGAAAGAAATTGTTACAGATGTCAGTCAACTTAGAAAGCATGATGATGTGTAATTAGTGACCATTTATTATAAAGTGCCCCAATGTGGTGGGATATGCTTGGGTTAACAGAGGGCACATGATTCATTAAGGGCTGTAAATAAGATTACATTTTACTTATTTGTTGTTGTTTTCCTTTTTTTGGCCTCACCCCGAGAAATGTGGGATCTTAGCTCCCCGACCAGGGATCGAACCCATGCCCCCTGCAGGGTCTTAACCACTGGACCTCCAGGGAAGTCCCAACATGTTACTTATTTGGATGTGAGTATGATACATTCTATATAAAATGGTGTCAAAATGCAATTCCAGAGGCCAAATCTGCAGCCTTCACAAGCACACTCTACTCTGGTTCTTTTGATTACTGTCCTCTATAATACTGTGTCTTCAGTCTTCAGTTTCCAAAAATAAGACTAATATTTATTATTTTATATATAGAGCAGCCATTCCCTTTCAAAAGACAGGGAGACCATTGTTCCCCCCCCATTTTCCTCCCACGTATGCCATGTCTAGTAACCCATCATTCTACTCACATGAAAACCTCGTTCTCGCAATATCCTGTCCTGCTCTCGTCCATGATCAGCTGGTAGAGTAGGCCCTTCCTATAATAATCAACAGAGGCCCTGAGTCCCGTCAACAAATCCAGAGAAGGGGCTGTGACCCCCAAAAGCACAGTAATTTAGAAAACAGTTTTATATTTATATTCTGTCACTCCATACATTTGTGTAGTTTTTCCTCAAAGATGTATAATCTAATATCAAGTGAGGTATGAGTCCTGGCTACAGGCTTTGCCATACACATTGGTTTTACACGGTGTCTCTCCATGATGGAGTCTATTTTTCCCTTCACTGAAACACAGGTGATATACAATATTTTGTTTCAGGTGTACTACATAATGGTTTAACAATTGCATACATTACGAAATAATCACTTTGGTAAGTCTAGTAGCCATCTGTCCCCATACACTTATTATTACTATGTTCCTTATGCTGTACATTACACCCCCGTGCTTTATCATGTAACTGCAGATTTGTACTTCTTAAAGCCCTTCTGTTTCACACACACCTCGAACCCTCCCTCCTACCTTCTGGCAACCATTTATTTGTTCTATGTATGAGTCTATTTTCCTTGTATTTTGTTTTCTAAATTCCACATATAAGTGAAGTCATGTGCTATGCCATTCTCTGACATTTCACCTAGCAAAATACCCTGCAGAGCTATTCATGTTGTTACAAATGCTAAGACTTCATTTTTTCATGGCTAATATTGCATTGTGTGTGTGTTTGTATGTACGTATATATATGTATAACATTTTCTTTATCCATTCACCTATCAGTGGACATTTAGGTGGTTTTCTTAACTTGGCTATTATAAATAATAATACAACGAAGTGCATATATTTTTTTGAATTAGTATTTTTGTTTTCCCTAGGTAAATACCCAGATGAGCAATTGCTGGATCATACGGCAGTTCTATTTTTAATTTTTTGAGGACCCACCATATAGTTTTCCATAGTAGCTGCACCAATTTACAATCCTACCAACAGTGCCCAAGGGTTCCCTTTTCTCCTCATTTTCACCAACACTTGTGATTTGTGGTCTTTTTGATGACAGCCATTCTGAGAGATGTGAGGTGGTAGCTCACTGTGGTTTTGATTTGAATTTCCCTGATGATTAGGGATGTGCCTCTTTTCACGCACCTGTTGGCCATCTGTATGTCTTCCTTTTCCATGATGGGAGTCTCTCAGCCTGAGTAAGGCTTGGATACTTGCACAAGTTATGTGTCAATCATTACCTTTTAAGGTTTCTTTTTGCTGTGAATTGTCTGATGATCCCCAAAGCCTGAGCTTTGAATAAAAGCATTGCCACATATGTTAGGTTTATGTTTGTTTTCAGTATGTATTTTCTGATGCCTAGTAAGGCTTGCGAATTGGGTATAAGCTTTGCCACACTGACTACATTTGTAAGGTTTCTCTCCAGTGTGGATTGTTTTATGTTGAGTAAGATATGAACGCATTGTAAAAGCTTTGCCACACTCATTACATTTGTAAGGCTTCTCTCCAGTGTGAGTTCTCTCGTGACCCCAAAGTTGTGAACGTTGGATGAAAGCCTTATCACAGTCTTTACATTTGTAAGATTTTTCTCCTGTATGAATTCTCTGATGTGCCATAAGGCTTGAACGTTGGGTAAATCCCTTGCCACACACGTTACATTTGTGTGGCTTCTCACCAGTATGAATTCTCTCATGACCCCAAAGTTGTGAAAGTTCAATAAAAGCCTTGCCGCACACGTTACATTTGTGGGGTTTCTCCCCAGCATGCATTTTCTGATGCCTAGTAAGGCGTGAAAATTGGGTAAAAGCTCTGCCACACTCATGACATTTGTAAGGCTTCTCTCCAGTATGGATTGTCTCATGTTGAGTAAGATTTGATCGCATGGTAAAGGCTCTGCCACACACGATACATTTGTAAGGTTTCTCTCCAGTATGGATCTTCTGATGTTTGTTAAGGCTTGACCGCTCAGCAAAGGCTTTGCCACACTCATTACAATTGTAAGGTTTCTCACCAGTATGCAATTTCTCATGACTCCAAAGGAGTGAATGTTGGATAAAGGCCTTACCACACTCATGACATTTGTAAGGTTTCTCCCCAGTGTGCATTCTCTGATGATTTGCAAGGTGTGAATTTCGACTAAAGACCTTGCCACATACATGACATTTATATGGTTTCTCTCCTGTATGCACTCTCTGATGTGTAGTGAGATTAGAACACTGGTTAAAGGCTTTGCCACACACATTACATCTGTAAGGTTTCTGTCCAGAATGAATTCTCCTGTGATTCCTGAGGTTTGAGCTTTTGCTAAAAGCCTTCCCACAGTCATTACAGCTGTAAGATTTTTCTCGAGTGTGTGTTCTCCTGTACTGCGCAGGTGACAACGTGTTTTCCACACTAGGAGGAACTCTGTGAAGTGGTGAAACTGAGGAACCACTGCTGACTGGCTTCTCACCTTGACCGCACGCATACACTTTCTCCTCAGCTGCACATCTCTGCAGCTGAGCCGCCTGGGCCTGCAGCCTCACTCCAGGTCTGCTTTCCAAACACTTGAGATCTCTGTTTCCAGCAACGCTGACGTTATTTTTCGTTGTTAACAAACTTCTTATGGATGGCTTGTCGTGTGTGAAATATTCACGTGCATTACTTCGTACAGAAACACTCTGAGGAAAATTAATTAAGGACTTATTATCGTGATCTTCTCCATGAGTGAGATTTTTGTTATGAGTCAAAAGTACTTCTTTGTCATTTCTTGCATCACATCCCCACTCACTCTCACACTCCTGCACATCTGCACAGACTTCCTCGAGGTCAAAATCCTTGATGCCATGGTTGTCATTTCTGTCCAGTATCACTAGATGGTATAATTCTCCTTTATTAATGCCCTCTCTTGGTGATAACTCCTTGATTGTAAATCCAGCAGAAAGGCTTCCTATTAAATCAGTTGGAAAATAAATATTTTATATTGAATTACATAATTATACAAAAAATAGGTTTAACAACATGTGGAAATATATACGAAAATAGATATTTTAAAAAGTCTGTATATCACAATAATAATTAATAAAATGTTTTAGAAACCCATGATAAATCTAGCAGGTAAGTTAATAAGTAACCACAATTATACAAAATAATAGTCTCTGGCATTCTAAAGGATTTTTCCATAAAAACCAAAGAAAGAATTTACATTCTAGAAGGAACATATAAAAGGAAAAGTGAAATATATGTTGAGAATCACTGAACTTTGTCTATCTCCTGAGTTCTTCCAAGGATATAAAATATGAAAGGAAACTAAATAGGTCCTGCGGTCAGGACTACAGAGGACTTAGCCCTGATACGTATTAAATGAAAACCAAAAGAGATCAAGGGGAAAGAGGACTCCAGAGAGAACCATCTCAGTCCCTCTCAAACCAAGGCACCAAAATGGTCAATGGTGTCAGAAAATAAGAGTATTGTAGGTCATGACAAAGCTTCTCCTCAGCTCTGAATGAGCTGGAGCATCACGGTAGAGGGGGAGCTTAAGCTTTTATATATTTGAATAACAGAGTGACAAGTTTTAGTGTGTGGGAGGGGTTTCCTTTGAGCACCCAAAAGAAACAAACTTGTATTCTTCCACAGATCCTTCCCATTTGAGGAGAATTTCCTAAACAATATTTAATGGAGCAGTTTACTTTGTGCCCACTTGAGCTCACATCTTGATATGTTCCCACTTGCCTGGATTTTTTCCTATTTTCACTTTACCCTCCAAAGTCCAGGGCTCTTTCCCTTGTTCTGAAATGGAGGTAATATTCAGCTTAAGAGAGATTTCCATTCATAAAGTAAAATGGAGTATGACATGCTATGCTGTTCCAGAACACATGCCCAGCTCTTTGTTCAGCTAAGAAGAAAGAAAACTATAGTTGGGTCTAGAAATGTATTATAAAACTTAGTCAACTGACTGCCTCCTGAATGCTTAGATTATTTTAAGTATGCAGATATCTAGCTCTCTTCCACGAACTACAGAATCAAAAGCACAAGAGTGAAACCACAGAATGACATATTTTTAAAAATTTGCCATAAGGCTTTCTGACTGCTGATGTTCTGCAACCACCACTAATCAAGCATGAATGCAGAACATCTGAAGAAACGAGAAGTTATAGAGTCATAAGCCACATTATGAAGGCTTTTCATTCTGAATCCAAACAGCTTCAATCACTCTCTCAAGAACAGAGGAGATCTGAAACTCTCACAGGCATGCTAGGGGCTCATAAAAGACTCAGAAGGGAAAATGCAAAGATATACAGTAGTTACCAACTTCCGGAGAGGAGTTATCCTCACCCAGGGAGAGCAGGTTCCTGTAGGTCTCTAACATCACGTCCCTATACAAGGCCCTCTGAGCAGGGTCCAGGCATTCCCACTCCTCCTGAGAGAACGTGATGGCCACATCCTTGAATGTCAACAGTCCCTGAAAGGAAAGCACATTTCACCAAGTGGACAAGGAGAGAGTTCTGAGTTTGACACAAAATTACAGAAGCAGCTCTGGCTAGAGCAAATGTTCTGACTGATCCATAAGATAATTGTAAGCAAGTTACATTTCTCGATTTTTTTTCAACTGAGGTGAAATTCATGTAACATAAGGTTCGCTATTTTAAGGTATCACTCAGAGGCATTTAGTACATTCACAATGTTGCACAAACACCACCTGTTTAGTTCAAAAACATTTTTATCATGCTAAAGGAAATTTACCCATTAAGCAATCGCTTCCCATTCTCCTTTGCCCCCATCCCTGTACACCACTAATGCCTACTGTCATTACACATTTACCTATTTGTGATATTTCCATATAAATGGAATGGTATGAAATGAGCTTTTCCGTGTGGCTTCTTTCACTTAGAATGGTGTTTTTGGTTCATCCATGATGTAGTATCAGTACTACATTCCTACAGTATCAGTACTACATTCTTTTTTTAGGGCTGAATAATATTTAATTCTATGACTACACCACATTTTACTTATTCACTCATCCCTTGATGGCCATTTAGCTTGTTACCACTTCTTGCCTAGTGTTAACAGTGCTGCTGGGACTTTCATGTACAAATATGTGTTTGAATACCTGTTTTCAATTTTTTTTTTGGTATATAGCTAGAGAGAAATCAGAATCACATTGTTTAAACTTTTTAAGGTCTGCCACACTGTTTTCCACAGCAGTACATTTTACCAGCAATGTGTCAGGATTCTCATTTCTCCACATTTTTACTAATACTTGCTATTTTGCATTTTATTATACTCATCCTAGCTGGTGTGAAATGATATCTCTTTTTTAAAAATTTATTATTTTTGGCTGCATCAGGTCTTAGTTGCGGCATGCAGGATCTTTTGTTGCCGTGCGTAGGTTTCTCTCTAGCTGTGGTGTGCGGGCTCAGTAGTTGCAGCATGTGGTCTTAGTTGCCCAGAGGCACGTGGGATCTTAGCTCCCCAACCAGGGATGGAACCCGTGTCCGCTGCACTGGAAGGCGGATTCTTAACCACTGGACCACCAGGGAAGTCCCAAATGATGTCTCATGGTGGTTTTAATTTTGCATTTTCCTAATGACTAATTTCGTTGAACATCTTTTCATGTGCTTCTTGGCTGTTTCTATATCTTCTATTCTTGAATTTTAGAATCAGAGAAATGTCTACTAGAAGTCTTTTGACCAACTTATAATTGGGTTCTTTGTATTTTTGTTGCTGATGTGTAGGTGTTCATATACTCTATAGAGAGTAGACCCTTACCAGATATGTGATTTGCAAATATTTCCTCCCATTTGGTAGATTATGTTTTCACTTACATGACAGTGTCATTCAGTGCACAACCATTATTAATTCTGTTGAAGACAAATTTATGTATTTTGTCTTTCTGTTTTTTGCTTTTGGTGTCATATCAAAAAAATCCACTGCCAAGCCCAAGGTCATGAAGATTTGCCCCTATGCATTCATCTAAGGGTTTTATAGTTTTAGCTCTTATATTTAGTTTTTGATTCATTTTGAATTATTTATATGCAGAAAGGCAAAGGTTCAATTTCATTCTCTTTCACATGGATATCCAGTTGTCCCAGCACCACTTAAGAGACTATTCTTTTTCCATTGTATATTCTTGGCACCCTGGCAAAAAAAGGAATTGACCACAGATGTATGGGTTTATTTGTGGACTCTCATTCTATTGCTTTGATCTGTATTTCTATCCTCATGCTAGAACCCCAGTCTTGATTACTCTAGGTCTGTAGTAAGCTTTGATGTTGGGAACAGTAAGTCCTCCAACTTTGTTGGTTTTTTTCACATTTATTTTGGTTATCTGGGGTCTGTTCAAATTTAATATGAATTTTATTTTATTTCTTTGATTTATTTATTTTTGGCAGTGTTAGGTCTTTGTTGTTGCATGCGGGCTTTCTCTAGTTGCGGAAAGTGGGGACTGCTCTTCGTCACGGTGCGTGGGCTTCTCATTGCGGTGGCTTCTCTTGTTGCATAGCACAGGCTCTAGGTATGTAGGCTTCAGTAGTTCTGGCACACGGGCTCAGTAGTTGTGGCTCATGGACTCTAGAGCACAGGATCAGTAGTTGTGGCGCATGGGCTTAGTTGCTCCTCAGCATGTAGGATCTTCCTGGACCAGGGCTCGAACCCGTGGCCCCTGCATTAGCGGGTGGATTCTTAACCACTGCGCCACCAGGGAAGTCCCCAATATGAATTTTAGGATCAACTTTTCCGTTTGTGCAATAGAGACTGCTGGGATTTGATGGGGATTGCATTGAATCTTCGTAACACTTCAGAGAGCACTGCCATCTTTTTTTTTTTTTTTTTTGCAGTACGTGGGCCTCCCACGGCTGTGGCCTCTCCTGTTGCGGAGCACAGGCTCCGGACGCGCAGGCTCAGCAGCCATGGCTCACGGGCCCAGCCGCTCCGCGGCATGTGGGGTCTTCCCGGACCGGGGCACGAACCTGTGTCCCCTGCATCGGCAGGCGGACTCTCAACCACTGCGCCACGAGGGAAGCCCAATATTGCCATCTTAACAACTCTAAGTCTTCCAATCCATGAACAGAGGATATCTTTACATTTATTTTTTTTTCATTTCTTTCGGCAATACTTGTAGTATTCATTATATAAATCTTCCATTTCCTTGGTTAAATTCTTATTCTTTTTGATGCTGTTGTAAATGGAATTGTTTTACTTTGAATTTGTTGATTGCTAGGTACAGAAATACAACTGATATTGAGTACTGATATTGTATTCTGTAATTTCAGTAAATTTGCTTATATCGCTAGGAGTTTTTTGAGGATTCTTTAGGTCTTTCTAAATATGACATCATGTATCCTGTAAATATAGTTTGACTTCTTTTCTAATTTTGATACCTTTTATTTCTTTTCTTTCTAATTTGTATGGCTACAACTTCCAGTACAATACCAAAGTATAGTTGCAAAATGGGGCTTGTTGTCTTCTATCTAACATTATAAGAAAGTTTTCAGTCTTCTACCAGTATGATGTTAGCTGTGGGATTTTAATAAACATGCCTTTTCAGATCAAGGATATCCCTTCTATTATTAATTTTGAGTGCACTCTGTTTTTGTTACATGGAGTGTTCTGTACATGTCTGTTACATCTCATTGTTTACAGAGTTGCTCAGTCCTTTATTTCCTTATTGGTCTTCCGTCTGGTTGTTCTACTTATTATAAAGGGAGTACTGAAGTCTCCAACTATTATAGTCTGTCCATCTCTCTTCAATTTTTGCTTCAAAATATTTGGGGTTTAGTTGTTATGTGCATATCATTTATGGTTGTTTCATCATATTGATGGCTCGATCATTTTATTGATATATAATGTCCTTAAAAATAGCTGGTAACAATTTTATGACTTAACGTCTATTTAGTCTGATATTAGCATAGCTAGGATGGGTTACTATTTCCATGGAATATCTTTCTCTATCCTTTCACTTTCAACCTATCTGAGTATCTTAAAGTGAGCATTTTGTAGAAAGATACAGTGGAATCATTTTTTTAAATTCCTGCAATTGTTGCCTTTTAATGTAGAATTTAATCTTTTTACATTTAAAGTAACTCTAAACAACGGAAGAATTGCTTCTGCCATTTAGCTATTTGCTTTCTGTATGTCCAATATCTTCTTTGTTTTGTAATTCCTCCCTTCCTTCTTTGTGCCTCTGTGTGCATAACATTTGGATTCCCTTCATATTTACTTTTCTGTATACTTTAAAATTATTTTCTTAGTGGTTACCCTGGAAATTACAGTTTATTAGTTTATATTTAACTAATATCTGAGTTCCAGTTGATACTCACTTAGCTTTAATAGCATATAACAATTGCTCCTATACTGTCCCCCTTTGTATTGTTATTGTCAAAAATTACTTCTTTATACATTTTGCTCTCAGTAACACATTTACAATTACTGTTTTACACATTTGTCTCTTAAGTTGCATAGGAAAAAATGAGTTAAAAATCGAAAATACAATAATACTGGCTTTTAGGTATGCCTATGTAGTTACATTACCACTGTTCTTTATTTGTTCCCACGGCTTTGAGGTACTGCTGTTATCCTTTCATTTCAGTCTAAAGAACTCCATTTAATATTTCATGTAGGATAAGTGAGTCAGCATGAACTCCTTCAGTTTTTGTTTATGTAGGCATCTCTAAATTTCACAATCAGTTTTAAGTCATACTTTCCCTGATAATGAATTCCTGGTAGTTTTTTTATTTTAACCTTTCAAACTTTAAATATATCATCAGACTCCTTCCTGGCCTCCAGTTTCTGATGAGTAATAGGCTGTTAATCTTATTGAGGATCCCTGTACATGAGAAGTTGTTTCTGTTTGCTACCTTCCCCATTCTCTTTTTGTCTTTTAACAGTTGGTTATGTGTGTTGCCCAGGCTCTCTATGTGTTTATCCACTTGAAATTTGTTGAGTTCCTACATTTGTAGTTTTTAAATAAATTTATGAGGTTTTCAGCTCTTATTTCCTCAAATATTCTTTCTGCCCATTCTCCTTTCCTTCTGTGACCCCTATTATATGTATACTGGTATTCTTTTTTTTTTTTTAAACAAATGTTTACCGAGTTCTCATTTTGTGCCCACATTGTTTAACTAAGAATCACCATGTGCATCTTCTTTCATTTTTTTATTTTTTGGCTGTGCCACACAGCATTCGGGGATCTAGTTCCCTGATCAGGGATCGAACCTGTGTCCCCTGTATTGGAAGTGCGGAGTCTTAACCACTGGACCACCAGGGAAGTCCTCTATACTAGTATTCTTGAGAGTGCCCCAAAGGTTTCTTAGTCTCTGTTCATTATTCTTTTTTCTACCTTTCGTCTGCTCAGAGTGGATAATTCCAAGTAATGTATGTTTAAGTTCACTGACTCTTTATTCTGATGGTCAATCTGCTGTCAAAACCCTGTAATAAATTTTCAATCTCAGCTATGGTAGTTTTGGGCTCCAGAATTTCTTTTTCTTCTCTTTTCTATAATTTCTGTCTCATTATTGATATTTTCTATTTGTTGAAACACTTCTCCCACTTTGCTTTAGTTCTTTGTCCATGGTTTCCTGTAGCTCTTGGAGTATGTTTAAAACAGTTGAGTTAAAATCTTTACTTAGGAGCCGGCGGTGGTCTCGAGGGGCGGCGCCGCACTGCTCCCTGCGAGCTGGTCCCATGGCCAGGTGGGTAGCCAGCCTGAGGGCGCGGCGCCATGAAGCTGTACAGCCTCAGCGTCCTGTACAAAGGCTATGCCAAGGTAGTGCTGCTCAAAGCCACATACGATGTGTCCTCCTTCAGCTTCTTCCAGAGGTCCAGTGTTCAGGAATTCATGACCTTCACAAGTCAACTGACTGTGGAGCGCTCCTCGAAAGGCAGCAGAGCTTCTATCAAAGAATATCTGTGCCATGTCTACGTGAGAAACGACAGTCTGGCGGGAGTAGTCATTGCTGACAGTGAATACTCATCCCAGGTGGTGTTTACCTTGCTGGAGAAAGTACTAGATGAATTCTCCAAGCAGGTCAACAGGATAGACTGGCCAGTTGGATCCCTGGTACCATCCAGTACGCAGGCCTGGATGGTCACCTCAGTAGATACCAGAACACCTGAGAAGCTGACCCCATGACTAAAGTGCAGGCTGAACTAGATGAGACCAAAATCATCCTGCACAACACCATGGAGTCTTTGTTAAAGCTAGATGACCTGGTGTCCAAGTCTGAGGCGCTGGGAATACAGTCTAAAGCCTTCTATAAAACGGCCTGGAAGCAAAATTCATGCTGTGTGATCATGTGACAGCAGCTGGCAGAGGCCCCTGCGCTGGAATGTCACCATCATTCACATCACAACTGCAGCCACCAGGGAGCAGAGCCGCTGTGGAATGACCCGAGTGGGACATACTCAACTTTGGCTTTAGAGCTCATGGGAGGAACTGAAGGGTGGAAGGGACCTGGGGGCAGGGAGGGAACATTCAGATTCACATGTCTAGTAATTTGAGGTCCCCTAAAAGTGTATTTTGGGGCCGAATGAAACCATAAAGCTCAGTGACTCCCGTAAAAAAAATTTTTTTTTAAATCTTTACTTAGTACGCAATGTCTGTTCTTCCTCGGAAACACCATCATTAATGCAGTAATCATGGTTAAGCTGCCCAATCTGGAGAAATCCTTAGACATCTGTACTGAAGTTGGCCTGCACAAAAGCAGCCACTATGGCATTTTTTTTTAACAGTAAAAAGTGTGAAAACCCTTGTGTTTTCATTAAGAGAATAGTCCAATGAGGAAATAAATGAGAAAGTCATCTCTATGTTTACTAACATGAAAACAACTCCAACACATATGGCGTGTAAATATTTAAATTTGCAGAATGGGGGGGGAGGGATAAATTGGGAGATTGGGATTAACATATACACGCTACTATATATAAAACAGACAGCTAATAAGAACCTGTGGTATAGCACAGGGAACTCTACTCAATACTCTGTAATGGCCTGTATGGGAAAAGAATCTAAAAATAAGAAGAGTGGACATATGTTTATGTACAATGATTCAGTTTGCATATGCCTGAAACTAACATAACATTGTAAAGCAACTCCAATAAAAATTTTTTTAAAATTTGCAGAATAAAATACCACAACAAAACATTTACCAAAAAATATTTTCTAAAGTCACTTTAGATTATAAAATGTACTTTTATAAGATTTGGGCTAAGAGCTAACAGTTGTACCTAATGGAGACAGTAAGTGATGGTGGAAGACATGACAGAGAAGGGGATGTTTTACTTCTCAGTCTCTAAACCGCATCACTACGTGGAGCTGAACCACAAATATACATACATGAAATGTCTAATTTAAAAAAATATAACCCTGAACAACAGTTAATAGAATCAGAAAGTGGCTCCAGGCTCTCTGATGGTAGAAAGTTCTGCTCCTATGTCTTGGCTAAATTATAATCATTTTAATCTAAAACACCTGCTGCATGAGAGTCCTTACCGGAACACCTGGGTCTTTGTGAGATGAATGTGGTGTGAATAATTTATAGGGCCTTTCCAGTTAGACAATTAATTTGATTCCAATTTTTAAAACAAATTATGTACTAAAACACCCTCTCTATACCTTATTTCTATTTTGGAACTTTCCATTTTATTCTAAAGTACTGATAATTTGGAGTCAGAAACACACTGATTCACTTAACTTCAAAGGCACTTATAAAATCTGACAAAGCAAGTTTCCCCATGTCAGTCTTCCTTCCCAGACCTCCTCAGGTATTCGTGCACAGCAGTACATCACTTACACACGTAGTCGCTTTCATCCTGGTTCACGTGGAGATGAAGGGGCACCCAGAAGGGTGCACTACACAATCCTCACGCCCTACCTCACTGACACCGCAGAGCCGGCTCCCCATCTCCAATCCACGCCAGAGTATAAAACCTTTCACGGGGTGACCACCTGAAAGGGGGCTCTGCCCAAGTTCCCCGTCACTGGGTCACAGTAACATGGAATCTGCAGGGAGGTGACAGGAGACTGAGGGAAGGCCCTGTGTGTGAGTAAATATTTTAGACAGGAACCTTCAGAGACCAAGAAGCTCAGCGCGTCCAAAACGTGTCATTTTAGGAAGGAGAGAACAGTCTACAAAGAATATGACTTTCACCTGGGAAAGGGCCATTCCTTCTCCTTTCTTTCCTCTTCCTCTGAGCTTCTTTCTCAGGTAGGATTATTCTGTGTGACAAAAACACGTTCTTAAATGCTTAGAATCAACATCCCCCCCCCCCCCCCCCCCCCCAACACACACACAGGGAGAACCTTAATACGGGGGAGAGAAGGGCCACAGCAACAGGAGGGATGCAGACAAATAACCTCCTGTAAGGAGCCCAGTCGGTGGGCCCGTCACCCACTTCTTCAGGAAGCCCTCCCTGCTGCTGCTGGAACGCCCACTGCGCTGCAACTGCGCCGTCCTTGTCCACTTGGCCCTCAGCCAGAGGCAAGTGCCTCGTCCCAGCCCCTGGCTCCTCCCGAGGAAGCCAGCATCCACCGACTGGCTGACACAGGATAGGATGCTTGTCCCATCCCACAAGTGGGAGCAACTCCGAAGGGCCACCCCAGCTCCAGAGCTCCCTGCTGAAGCTATACTGAAGACTTCAGATTTTTGTCCTGAAGGCGATGGGAAACCCTAACAGGGTTTAATGCCAACAGATGACACAATTAAACTTAAGATTTACCCTAAAACCTGTAATCATACTTGTTTCTTCAACTTAATTAGTGGCACAGTATCTATTCTTCCAGGGAACAATGTATCATCTTCAATTACTCCATCCTTTCCTCTTACCTACATCTAATAAATCATCAAACAACACAGACTCTACCTTCTCAATAGGTTTCAAATTCATCCTTTCCTTTCATATGACGCTTTCTACCCCACATGCATCCTCACGTGTCACTCAGATAATTTCAAAGTTCTGCGAAGTTTCCCTTGCCTGTGATTTCGTCTTCCTTCAATCCATAATCCACATACTTACGAGAGTTCACTATTTAAAATGCAACACTGACCTATTAGTATCTTGTTTCAGCCTCTCAATGACCTCTTCGTGTCAACAGGATCAAATCAAGCTCCTTAGGAGAGACCATGTCGTGAGTCCCCTGGTGACAGGACCCCTGCTTTGCCTGCACTTCTTTCACTCTGTGTCACGCTCTGCGTCCAAGCAACATTGCAGGATGCTACTATCCTCTTCTCCACCCTGACAATACACTTACTTTCTTTATTTTGGGATGCTGCTTCTCCTTCATTAGCTGTTGAATTAATATAAACTATTTAAATCCAACTTGAATAATAAAAATAAACTAACGGCCCCATTTAATCCCACCCAGAAGGAATCATTCACCTCTGCAGTTTACGCATGCTTCTGCTATTTCATTTAACAAGGTACGTTTTAAAATATTCACATATCTATTTTCCCTAAAAGAATGTAAGCTCTGTGTAACGGGGAACATGTTTTCCACTCTGGTAGCTTGCATTCGGTTCCACATGCTGGCAGCCACCTCCTGAGATCCCTTCTGAACATAATTTGAAAGCCCACCTTATGGTAACTGACTTACCCAGCTCCTCATCATTCGGTGGGGTCTGCTTATAGGCCATTTGAAAACAAGGTGTTTGAGTGGTAAGACGATATCCTTTTTTCAAAATTGTATTTATTTGGCTGCGTCGGGTCTTAGTTGAGGCACGTGGGATCTTTATAGTTGCGGCATGCGAAAGCTTTAGTTGAAGCATGTGGGATCTAGTTCCCTGACCAGGGATTGAACCCAGGCCCCCTGCACTGGCAGTGCGGGATCTTAGCCACTGGACCACCAGGGAACTCCCGAGACGATATCCTTAATCATGTAACACTCGATGAAAACATAATTATTAAGAAAGAAATATCTGTGTTTCAGTGTCTTATTGGAAATAGGTTGTTGAGATTGAATGAGCAGAGGTATAACTGCAGAAGAAGTAAGCATATACCAGTTGGCAGATGTCATTGTGTTTACAGCAGTATTATTTCATAGTAATATCATTTTATTATGAATATCATTTTATTACTTTCCTATTGGATTACTAGTGCTAAAATTTGTCTGTATACCGGAAGGTACAAGGATGTGGCTCCCAACACATCCACTGGTGCAACCTCGAGCACTATTTAAAAAGTGGATTTTATGTCAGCTGGGACTGGACCCAGATCATTAAATATGAGGATATAGTAATACCTAAGGAGCTAGGGTAGTCCATACTGATGAGGTATTTTCTATCTTCAACAAGTAGCCTTCTTACCCCCTCAATGTAATCAGAGAAGGAACTGTCCTCCATTTGACTGCGTTACCTGCCCACTCATACTCTCAATACTGACTAGCGTGGACACACACAGCAACACGTCCAACACTACAAGTTTCCACAAACACATGGTCTAATCTTTTCTTCATAACCTCTGCCTTCAGTAAAACATACTGTGTATTTTTTTATGACAAACATCATAAACCAATAAATACTGTGTTTTTTTGCACTCAGTTATAGTGCTCCAATGTTTATGTGAAGATTGTAATTAAGCATTTATTCAAAAAGTTGTCTCAGGTCCTCTGGCTCAGTTCTGCTTTCTCATATAGGCATCCTACGTTATCAAAGGTTCTTCCTAAAATTTGGCCCAAAGTCTAAAACATAATATTATACTGAAGAGATGGAGGGCCAACCATCTGTGTTTATGTTATTCATATTGAATGTTGCACTTATAGCAACATATTCTAAAGTCATATTAGTTTTTTTCCCTATTTTGTTGAAATACAGTTGATGTACAATATTACATTAATTTTGGGTATACTACATAGTGATTTGACATTTGCATACACTATGAAATGTTCATGTTAAGTTTTAAAAAAAGATCTGCCCCATGACACAGAGATAGAGAAAGAGAAGCTGAGAGAAAGGTATGCCTCTGTCTCTGGGCCTATGCCCCTGCCCCTTTCTTAAGAGTTTTTCATACTTGTTGGAGGACTGGGGCACGTTTCAAATTCTAATTATAACTGGGCACTCATTCCAGAAAACTGCCAAATGCAAACACAAGACCAATTTTGAAAATCATTTCAGGGATCTCACTTGCTCAGACTCAGAAAACCTGGTCTACTTTAATTTCTCCATGTTATAGGTGGTACATGAGACTCACAGGGGAAGTAATTTAACCAAGTTACTTTGAAGAAGCCTGAGTTGAGTGAGCAGAACTGAGTGTAAGTGGTGGCTTGTATAGGTTTAAGTAGAAAGAGTTTGTCCTAATTCCAGATTACCTTTCATATTCCTTAGCGAGAGAAGCTTCTCCTTCAGGGGTTTAATCAAACACAAACATTTAATTTTAATTCCTCTACTCCAGAAAAAAACAGAATCAAAAATTCCAAATTATATTGAGCCTCCCTGGTGGCGCAGCGGTTGAGAGTCCGCCTGCCGATGCAGGGGACACAGGTTCATGCCCCAGTCTGGGAAGACCCTACATGCTGTGGAGCGGCTGGGCCCGTGAGCCATGGCCGCTGGGCCTGCACGCCCGGAGCCTCTGCTCTGCAGCGGGAGAGGCCACAACGGTGAGAGGCCCGTGTACCGCAAAAAAAAAAAAAAAAAAAAAAAAATCCAAATTATAAATAGTTATTACTGCAGGAGAACATGGAAGAGGATCACCTGTGGAGATGAGCTCTAAGCAATCTCTTCATCATGAAAACATGGCCTCTGTTGGAACAAAGTTCCACATCAATCTAGCCCATCTTTCAACATCTGCCCAGAAAGGACAAAAGAGGACTGGAGGGGAGCATCTACTTAGCCGCAGACTTCAGCTCAGAGCTCACTAACTTAGCATTTTTTCTTAAGGGAAGAAAAAAGCTGTTAAATATTAAACTAACTGGTTAAACTAGGATTTGAGTGTTAAAAGATTATCGACATCCTTAACCACATGCATAGTGAAATGCTGTAAAGTTATCTACCAGACATCAAAGAACAGTTCCAAGTTAGGATATAAAGCATAAAACCCTCATAATCTGAACAATAAAATTTAGAGGGAAAATAATCTGGAAATTTAAAAAATAGCCACTGGGTTCTGAGGTTAAAGTTAAAACAAGTGTGAGGATACGTCAAATTTAGAAAAGGATGGCATGAGCCACAGTAGAAAAGGGAGAGGGCAACAGTACTGTTAATGATAGCCATTTTAGGAACTTCCCTGGTGGTCCAGTGGTTAAGACTCTGCCTTCCAATGCAGGTTCGATCTCAACCCACGTGCCTCGCGGTCAAAAAGTCAAAACATAAAACAGAAGCAATACTGTGATAAATTCAATAAAGACTTTAAAAATGGTACACATAAAAAAAATCTTTAAAAAACAAAACAAACAAAAATAGCCGTTTTAAAAAAGCACCAAGTGGTGAAAGAAATTCTTCCCCATTTCTTGAAAGGTAAGAGGAGGACCTAGAATTGACTAAGTCTCTGCCTTCTGGATGAATAGGGCTTGTAAATGAAATTATCATCTGATGCAATGATTAGAAAATGCAGACGCCTCAAACACCTAGCTTGGCAACTGTCTTCTGCATAATTAAAACAAGTCAATAAATTTTACATAAATTAGATTATAGAGCCACATGTTAGTACTTCAGAACTTAATATCCCACGTCCAATCTACTCAATACTCACCTAGGTTTGGGGACCCCATTTTCTCCACCACTATGTGCTTTTTTCTCTGTGTATGTCTTTCTGTGTCCTTCTGCTTCTCTTTTCTCCTTTGACCATTTCTGTGTTTCCTCCTCTCTCTTCTATGCATCATTTTCTTTCCCTCTCTCGATTCCTCCTCCCCCAGACTGTTTGGCCTCACTCTGTTGCAACCTCTGTATCAACACCTGTTGTTCTTTCTCCACAATATTTCTTTCTTTTTTTTTTTTAAATCCATCCTCTGACAAAGGCCTTCCTGACAACTTTCCATACAGTCAGTCATAAAATAAAAAAATACAGAACACAGCAAACAGTATCTCATACACTAGAAACCAACATGACAGGAGTCCCTTCTCATTTTTCTCATCACTGTTAAAAAAAAAAAAAACCCAAACCTAAGAACTTACTTTTGGTGAGGCACAGGACGTTGGTCCCCTACCAAATGAACCGAAATAACCCAGCAGAGAATTCAAACCAAGGGAGTAAGATTTGGAGCGGGGCAGGGGGCGGGGGGGAGGCGGGGGGTGGTGGTCGTGGTCAGTCTCCACAATATTTCTGATGCCTCACTAGCTGCATATATTTCCGCCTCTGTATTCCCTCACTGGTCTCCCGGGAGGGAGGTGAAGAGCGCAAATCCACCTCCTGAGTCAGGACTTTACCCGACGCGGGGTGGGGTGGGAAGGGGGTGGGGGAGGGGGGCCGGGAGTCAAAGGTTTGAGAAAGGGAGTCAGAGTAGGAAAACATCGCTGCAGGAAGTCAGTGTCTATATGGACCGAAGGCAGAAAGTTGGGGCCGGTACCTGCCTCAGAACGATTTAACCGGAACCGGACCCAGACTCCAGGGACCCGAACCGAGTCTTCTGCTGACGCCGAGACAGGCGAAAGATGAGACTCAGAGCAAGAGCGACGAGCGCGTTCAGGGGTTTTAACATACCGGGAGACCCCGGAAATCCGGGTGTGGTGGAGCAGTGCCCGAAGACCTCATAGCATAATTTCGAGAAAAACCGAGACTTCACTCTCCTGAGTGCCCGCGACGCTCCGCGGGATCCGCTTCCGGGTCTGCAGGGAACTGCGCGTGCGCACCGGGGCGGGGGCGGGGCCGGAGGCGGGGCCGGGGCCGTCAAGGGGCGCGTCTCAGACGCTCCGGCGGGTGGAGGCGGTGTCTCTGGTGGAGCCTCCCCGCCCCGCACCCGCCCCTGGAAGATTCTGGTCTGTTCCTCTTCCTTGCGGACAGGCTCCGCGTTTCTACTTTGAATCTTTTGAACGTGTCTCTTGTCCTTTGGAGCCAGGCTACGTGCAGGATTAGAGGTGCTTGGGGCAGTTGTATTGGAAGCGGAGAGTTGAGAACGGTTTACGTGAAAACAGCGAGCGGATGAAGATGCGGATTCACCAAGGACGGCACGAGCGCTGGGACCTTGGGGGCGGGGCTTGGCGTTGTGGGCGTGATCCCGGAACTTGTGAGGCCCCAGGCAGTTACAGCTTTTTATTTAATTAAACGAAAGCCTGAGTTTGATTTAGAGGTGATGGAAACTGGAGTGACAGGAAAGGCAAAATTGTGCCTGTGCGGAATGTGCAGTTTTATACTCACTTCCCTCCAGAGCATAATTTAAACTTCTGTCTCCCATTCACTTGGAGGCATCAAAAAGATCAGTGAGGAAAAATTTCAACCCCAAACCTGTCATTGTCTGAGGTACTCGGTTGGAGACTGTGAGCAAGGAGTTGGCTACAGTCAGGAGCTGGAGAAACAAACTTTAGGAAGGAATTCAACCATATTTTTGTATTTTACTGTATAGATTTTTCTTTCCTTTGAGTTGTATCATGCTATAGGATGTGAAGAGTAAGACCATTTTGATAGAAATTTCCATTTCCCAAATATCAACTACTAATGATGTCATCTTCAGTGTAGTTCTGCTGCTTATTAACTTTTCTTATGCACTTTGGCATATTTCTGAATTTTTAATGTCACTGATTTATCAGTTGTGAACAGACATATCCCCTTTGTCCCAGGCCCCCGGTGCAAAACTTCAGAAACCCTTGGAATTTCCACTAACTGAATCACTGTGCTGTACGCCAGAAACTAACACAACATTGTAAATCAAGTATACCTCAATTGAAAAAAAAAAAACACCTTGGAATTTCCTGAATGATAGGAGTGTCTTTGCTATTATACTAATAAGGCAACTCTGAATGGGGGTTCCGTACAAAGCTATGGAATGGGAGCCTGGACATCAGAAAGATCAACCAGGTGATCAGAGGATTGGAACCTGCAGCTGCCCAACTTCTGGAGAGAGGAGGGAGGCTGGGGATTGGGTTCAATCACATGGCCGGTGATTTAACCAGTCATGCCTGGTAATAAAACCCTGATTAAAAACTCTGGACAGAGAAGCTGGAGGGAGTCTCCTGCTGAGGAACAGAAGCTACTGCGCCAGGAACCCTACCAGAACCTGCTCTATGTATTCCTTCATCTGTTTTTTTTTTTGTTTTTTTTTTTTTAGTGAAATGATGTCAAATGACAAAACAATGTAGTAACTAGTTTTTGTTTTTTTGCGGTACACGGCCTCTCACTGTTGTGTTGTGGCCTCTGCCGTTGCGGAGCACAGGCTCCGGACGCGCAGGGTCAGCGGCCATGGCTCACAGGCCCAGCCGCTCTGCGGCACGTGGTATTTTCCCGGAGCGGGGCACGAACCCGTGTCCTGTGCATCAGCAGGCGGACTCTCAACCACTGCGCCACCAGGGAAGCCCGATGTAGTAACTAGTTTGATGTCCTTTATTCAAGGGAAAACTGGATTTCCCGGCGCCCCCGGCGCCCGGCGCCACGCCCAGGTAGCAGCCCACTGCAGGTTGGTGAACCCACCAGGCTGGGAGACAGTGGCGGCCTTCACACATTTTTATTACATTTTTCCTAAGTAGTTTATTTTCTTTCATCATTTTGTAATTGCATCCTCAGTTTCCAAGTGTAACTTGTCAATTCAAATGTTTGTACATACGTAATCACTTACTTCGTATAATTTGGAGCCATGTCATGGGTGCAAACTGATTTGTAATGTAATATCACTGAATTGGCCCCATTTACTGGAATGATAAATTGCTAAGCTTACGTACAATAATAGCTGGTAGGTGTAGGAAAGTCAAGGTGGAGATGAAGCAGAGGTGAAAAGAACACTGCTTCCCTACCCACACATACAATAAAAGAAATTCCATGTGGGATTTTAATCCCATATGGGACTGTATTCAGGTATACAACACATGAAAACATCACTATTTCATCACTAAGTGACATGGGAATGATAAGGCAAAGGCTAAAACAGATTCTCACAGCTTTAATTTTATTTTTCTTACATAAAAATTATATACATTTATATGCTGAGACTGCATGATCCCAGTGTAAAATGCAAATCAAAGAGTATATAGAATTAAATATAACAATATATTAATATAAAGCCAATGACTATATCTATATTATATTTAATATCCTCTAGGAAATATAACAAACTGAAATCTATGAAGTAGGAGAAAATTTAAAAGTAGGTACATAAGGTGAAACAGATGAAGAATAAATACACATGGTCAAAAACCATTTCATATATCTTGACTTCCAGTTTATCTAAAGTAAATAAAAAGCAAACAAAAACATGTGGTGGCATCACCTTCATTTCATCAAACTGAAAAATATAAACATTTCTCAAGGTAGATTGTTATCAAA